CTGTGTTTTATTCACTAATGGCAAGGCAAGGCAAGGCAAGGCAAGTTTATTTGTATAGCACATTTCATACAAAATGGTAATTCAAAGTGCTTTACATAAAAGAAAAGAAAAAAAAAAATCACAACAATAAAACAAGGAATTTAAAAACATTGTGTGAATGACACTGTGCACCTTCTATATATAAGTATTGTCCTCCTCAGCTCGTAGAAAAGCTGTTTGTGATGAGCTTTGGTTCATCATGTGACTTTCTAATCACCACCAGTTTTTGGTGGTTATCAGTGCATTACAATGGTTCAAAACAGATATTAACACTTCAATATGTTGGTTTATTAACATTACATCAGTTAATGAAATACGGTATTTTCAAATAGTTGTATCTCGGCCAAATATTGTCCCATACATCAATGGAAAGCTTATTTATTCAGCTTTCAGATGATGCATAAATCTCAATTTTGAAAAATTGACACTTAAGACTGGTTTTGTGCTCCAGGGTCACATATAACGAATAAAATAATTTTCAGGCTCAAGTCGAGCCCTCGTCGCTTCCGTTCGCACTAGCGCTCCACCAAACCGCAGAAACATCCACCATCATGTTTTCCCATGATAGCAAATCAAACTGAGCGCAGGAAAGTAAATGTACACATGAGTGTGGGAACACAAATCAACACATCCATTCCCACCATCAATCTCTGGCTGCGGATCAATGCTGGGAACGAATGCTCATCTCCATTTCCACATCATTCCCAGTCATCACTGCCTCTAAATGCCCATCACACGCTTCTCTCCTTGGCACTGATTACAGAGGCGCCATAAAGATGGCGACACTAGGCTCACCACAGAGACATTAGTCCTTCACAGTAATCTTTTGATTTGTATAACGCGACACTCAAGTGGAAGCAATTCATTAAAAGCCAAGGATTCTTTGTTGGTTCTCCGTATGAAGCGAACGGATCAAATAAGGCAGAGATTATGTTACTTCTGATGGCATCCCAGATGCTTTATTAGCTCTAGTCCCACATGTTCGTTTGTTCGTCTGTTTGTTAGAAGTGAAGCATCACGATTGCTCATATTTTGACGAAAAACAGGATTGAGGTTCAGTCTGCGTGTTTGAGCTCCGGACGTGGAATCATGTGTGTTGTTGAGGAGAGTGTGCGAACTATCAGGAAAAAAAAAAGTGCAAAAATCCCACACGGAAGGAGGTTTTGACTTTCCATTGTGAAACTGAGATGCTGCATGGTCAACTGTGTGAGCTAAAATGAAATCAAAACGCCTGCAATGTATATTTGTATACATGACGACCCTCAAGAAGTATTTGATTGGTTTTGCACAATGAAAGCAAATTTTGTAGATCTTTGTTCCTCCGTTTTGTAGTCCAGCTCATCAGTTGCATGCCTCTGTAGGGATCAATTGCATAAACAGCCACTATATGTTAAGACTGGGTCTGACTCTGAAGAACTAGTTTGAGCCAAGAAGTAATCATTCTTACTTTTCAGATTCAAATCTGACCAATCTACCTTTTTATTATGGCGGTACCCAGGCTTTGAAAATTAGTGGGGTCCGGTAATTGCAGGTAAATTTCACAAATAATAAAAAAAAAGAGGCAAGTACACTCCAAAATAAATGCTGGGTTAAATACAACCCAGCACTGGGTTGTATTCAACCCAGCATTTTTTAGAGTGTAAGACATTGGATTAAACGTAAAATTTTGAAATAGAAATACTGAAATTTTAGTTTAACAAATCAGTTTTTACAACACTTTCAACTTCAAAATTTCCTATCAAATCTGATGTTAATTCCTGCCGTTTCTTTGTAATTATTTGTGAATTTCTGAGTGAAAATGATTACTTGGCTTTTTTCAAGTAAATTTTTTCCCTTACGTTTTCTTCAGAAAATGTTCATGGGAATTAAAACAGTTTGGAAGCAGGCGTGTCCTGTGGTGTAACACACTAAACTCCATCTGCAATTATTATTATTATTATTATTAATAATGCAGCTTTTATGAACAATCAAGAGACTGCAATGAGTATTTGTATTCACAGAAACGTATGTTGCATGACCATTTAAAACAACTATCGAAGAGGAATAAGTATTTGAGAAAAACTCAAATCCTTTAAGATATACACTAGCACTTTTATATACACTTAAAGGCTTCCAGCCAGGCCAGACCCCTGCAAACCAGACAATAAATGGCAGATCAGTCTCTTTTGCCAGCATCGTGTTTTGAGTGAAAAACTGTATACTACCAGTGCATAAAAAAAGGTTCATAATTTTTGTATGCGGTGGAAAATATGAGCAATTTTTTGACCAGCACTTCTGCCCTAGATTCGTTAGCTGCATTAAGCTCTGTGCACGATGTGCTGTCGGGGAGCGAGTGGAAAATGTTGACGCTGTCGTGCCGGGTGAGAGTTGAGTGGGTGTTGAAGACCTCCACACATGCGCTCAGACTCTTACCTGAGCGTTTCCTGCCTGCGTAAGACTCTTGAGCAATCTCAGAAAACTGCACAGAGAGCTCAGACACTAATGGCGACGACCTCTGGGACCCTAGAACAGCATGCAAATAGATGCATAAGCATAACCAAAAAGCATGGCTAGAGATGCGTGCCAAACACCTCTAATAAACAGTTTTGTCACTGTGGAGCTAGGACTGACGCACAGTTTGTCAACAGACTGCCTATCGCCACACATCTCTCCACAGGCAGCGCATCTTCACGTTCGCTCGGGTTTGATAATCATCTTTCTCGCTAGAAGCAAAACAAAAGGCAGCAGAACAAAGATGCTGAAGTGTGCGGTGATTCACCTCATTTAAAGACAAACCACAAACGTTTGACATTTGTGATACCTTTCAGAAGGCAGGAAGCAAGCTGTTTCTCGCTCTCTGTGTGATGTCAACAACTTGGGTAATGTAGTGGAAAAGCATTATCTGACACTTCAGATCAAGAGGTGGACTGGATTGTTGTGTTATTCACAGCAGATGTGTGCGCCACATGTTGCTTTCTGCTGTTATGAAACCCTGAACAGACTACATCACGGTTGATGGCAATGGAATAATGTTTTTGTCGCTGACGTAACTACACATTAACAGTGAAGAGCTGATTCTAAAATGCACTGCATGCTAATATAGATGTGGTTTTAAACACAATCATTTCTTTGACCATTTTCTGTTTCATGACAGTGTGTTATTAAAATGCATTGATGTTAGGGTTATAGACCATTAGCTGTTTGTGCAGACCTATTGCTGTTACTATAATTGTTGCAAATAAATATACATTTTATATGTAAGTTATATGCTCTGCTCTCAACTTTGAAATTCGCCGTCTCTTTGCACATAATTCAACACATTTCTTGCCTATGAAACTTATTTAAACTTCATGAAATGCATGATGAAAATGTGTGTAATATATTACGAACACAACAAAACAACTTTATTTTGTTAACTCAAACTCTCTCGCGTAGCTTTAAAATGAAGTATTATATAGACGATTTCTCTCAAGATGAGGTCAGTGAATAAATAGGAAAACAAAGTAACTTGCGTTACTTACAGTATTTAAAAAAGTAACTGAAATTTTATTGTAAATGTAAAAGTAATGCGTTACTTTATTTACTTGGAAAAGTAATCTGATTACTTGCGTTACTTGTTATGCCTTACAACACTACATTCTTCTGATATTACAGGTATGAGGGCAAACATAAGCAATTCTATTTAGTTTAATTTTTAAAAACATATTTAAACAATAAAAACTGTACAAATACCTTAGGAGAATACAAAAGAGCATCAACAGAAAAGCTCACATGTAACAATACACAAAACAGAGTAAACATTAGCAATGCATAAAATTGTAATCATTAAAACAATTAAATAATACATACAAATACAATAAATAAAATTATAACAAATTTTTTTTCATTTTTTAAATTATATAATAGTGCTGTCAAATGATTAATCGCGATTAATCACATACAAAATAAAAGTTTTTGTTTACATAATATATGTGTGTTCTGTGTATATTTATTATGTATACATAAACACACACACATACAGTATATATTTTGAAAATATTTACATGTATTTACATGTCTATATTTATATTCATATAATTTATGTTATAAAATAAATATATTTAATATATAAACATAACCTATTTTTCTGAAATATATACATGCAGGTGTGTGTATTTATATATACCTAATAAATATACACAGTACACACACATATATTATGTAAACAAAAACTTTTATTTTGGATGCGATTAACCGCGATTAACCGTCATATACATAAACTAGAAATAGACGGGAATAGTTATAAGAAGAGGTAAGCTCATAAACAAGTCCTCCTGAAATGGAACATGTTGTTTACAAATATAATTCATTTATTTACATATAATTCACATCAAATTCACATATAATTCAATTAACCATGTAATTGGATAAAACAAAGAATATCTATTTTTTCCATCTATTACTTGCGACATTACTTCTCATATTAAAATACTGTAATCACAAATGTAATGTTTTGAAAACAGCACCTAGTTTACTGTCTTTAAAAAGGAGCTAGCCATGTATATGGAGGTCTTAAAAATGATGAGAAGTGATAAGGCCAAGAAAGTATTTGATTTGTTGAATAAGTGTGATTTTGTTTAATCCCCTACATTGTTTATGTATTTGATTAATTTCTTATATGGTGGTTTGTTTCTCTGTTATAGTATGATTAATATGAATGTCTCAGTCTGTGAGAATTTACAGTTGTGCTTATGTTAGCCTATGTTGAAAAAAAAAAGAGGTAAGCAAATTAAACCTCATTTAAAATATCCAGATGTAGTTTCATCTCGAGGTGATGCGTAAATTATAACTACGATTTAAAAATAATGATGCAAAAAAAAAAAAAACTAGGTTTAGACGGAAACATTTATAAGAAGAGGTAATCAAATTAGACTTCATAATAATAAAAATAAATCCAGATAGAGTTTGATCTCGGATGATGTGGAATCTGCTGGGGCGATGCTCAAGATTATTCTGCAGAGGCGTGGCGTCGTTTGCGTACGCGACGCTCTCGCGTGAGTCTGGCGTCGTCCTCTGCTGCACGTCTCTCTGATTCTGCCCAGCGCTGTCCTCACGACTTTACACAGGTGGGTTCAAAAGTCAGACATTTATCGTGCATTACACTTCAAAGTACCGAGGCCTCGCGAGAATCTGTAGTGAGTGGGCTGGAGATGCAGCGCATCAATGCCTGGACTAATGCATTAACGTTAAATGCCCTTGCCGCGTTGGTGAACGTGCATCGAGTGTCTGCAGCTAGCGCAATCAAACGTGCAAGTGCTGTTTAAACGCACGACACTGTCATCAGGTGATCGAAACGAAATATTGCAGCATTGCATGAGTGGAAAGATGGTTCTGTGCTCGATCTGCTCTGAAAGAGGCCTAAAGCTGCGCCATTGGGCTCTGGTCTGTGCAGTGATCCTCATCTCATGCATGCATTCACGCCTAGATCAGCATTTGCATTGTGTTTTGCTCACAAATCTAGTTTCTTCTCGGAGAAATGTTCGCATGCACAATGTGGATTTCTACATGCACGGTCTGTCAGAAGACTTGAAAGCAGGTGGAATGTCATTTGACTTTAGTACATTTTCGAAATGCAGTATGTTCCTCATTAAAGTCAGTGATGTTGATCTGTTCCTCTGGCTGACCTTCTTCACCTCTGTGTTTCAGACAATGGCCATTCCTCCAACATATGTAGACCTGGGCAAGTCTGCCCGGGACATCTTCACCAAAGGATATGGTATGAATTCATCTGGTTTTATATTAGAGCTGAATACACACACAGCATGCATGCATGTATGCATAAATAAATATTAAAAAAGAACAATGCATATATATGTATATCACAGAAACATTAATATGTAGAGGAAGTCAAGTTAAACCTCATCAATCGAATCATTAAAAAACCCTCATATTGTTTCATCCATTTAATTTAGTTTGATGTATTGATATTTTCAATCAGAATGATCGACGTTTGTGATTTGTTCACCTTGCTGCTGGCATATGTACCAGGCATTTCAGGAGCCAATCATCAGAGGCCTAACCGTCATGTGACCAATCAGTCAAAATAGAATAGCCCGCCCACTTTATGAGCAGCTTTTGTTTCAGAATTACACCATTCATTTATCCAATAGGGAAACGTTTTTGTTAAAGCGTTATAAGACATGATCCAAACCAACCATCTGTGACGCCAATCACAATGTTACAAACGTATTTAAAAATCGGACAAAAAGACAAGAGTGTGAACAGCTTTAGTGAAGGAAAAGCACTACAATCCCATAATCAAAATAAACTCATTTCATTTAAAGATGTAGATTATGTACAGTATATAGGAACATGATATTTTACGCATTTAGATAGGTTTGAGAGTGCAGGGAGACTTGATTACATCATTCACAGTGTTTTATGGCAGTGGGCGGAGCTTAAGAGTTCTTTTGGTGTGATTTCGCTTCTCTGATTGGTAGAATCATGGGTAATGTTTTTTTTTTTTTTTTTACCAGGAGTTCCACTGGTAAACATGATTATTTAAAAAAAACAAGTTGAAATACTCGGGGCTCTTTGCTTATTTTTCTTTTTTAAGAGCGCTTAAGAGCGCTAATTTAAAAAATTTAGGAGCACAGTCAAAAATTTAGGAGCACCTTCTAATCAATAATCCAAAATTCTGATCAAAAATGAATCTTCCCATTATGAGGTGATATTTGACTCCTTAAAGTAATGTACAGGGAATTTAGTTTTTACCTTTGTAATGGCATTTTTCTAACTTTATATTAAAAGTATGTCATCTTTTATGTCAAATTCAAACAATTCTATTTATAAGCTTTTTAACATTTCTAATAAAAACAAGTGGAATAAGAATAAGCTACCAATCTAATGAAATCAGTATTTAAGAAATACATTTGTACTACAGAGGTGGCACAGAAGAACACACAAGTGGCTTGTAGGTGTATTTTCAGACGTTTAAGGAGGCTCAGAGGCGGCATGAGTGCAATTAAATTCATGTTGAGGTTAATGTTTTAAATATAAAATTTTGAATATAGAAATATTGAACGATTTAAATAACAGAAACTGCCAGTAGGTGGCGGCAAGTCACTGATTGAATCACTGAATCGTTCATTCAATTGATTCGTTTGAACGGCTGATTCATTCAGGAATGAAGTACGTGACTCTTTATGAATGGGTAATCATGAATCACTGACTCACTAGATTCAATTAAAAACGCAGTTCATTCATAAACGAAACACCGCTGTGTTTGAATGGAGATGCGCAGCGTCTTGGCTGTGACTTTCAAACTATTTGTTGATGAAACAGAGCAAAATAAGGCAATAGTGTTATAGTCAGACAATATAGATTTAATCACTGAATCGTTCATTCAATTGATTCGTTTGAACGGCTGATTCATTCAGGAATGAAGTACGTGACTCTTTATGAATGGGTAATCATGAATCACTGACTCACTAGATTCAATTAAAAACGCAGTTCATTCATAAACGAAACACCGCTGTGTTTGAATGGAGATGCGCAGCGTCTCGGCTGTGACTTTCAAACTATTTGTTGATGAAACAGAGCAAAATAAGGCAATAGTGTTGTAGTCAGACAATATAAGTCACTTCTTGTTTAATGAACTGTTGTATTAAATCAATATCACGTTTACGAACTCCCTTAATAATCATTAAAAGCTGTCACTCATCTTAATTCATCGCGATCTCACAAAACTCCATTATAATCAACGAAGCTCCTTACACTGCACAATGAATCTCTTATTTACACCCTGTCTACACTTTGTTTGTTGATATATTGATATATTACTCAACGCTGAAAAACACGTTGTAAGTACGTTAGACTGTTGCACTCTATTAAAACTCCTTGTAGCAGACATGGAAAAACTCAAGACTATTTCACACTGTAATAAAATCGACTGTGAAATAGGGCTGCTTTCAGATGGAGCAGCATTTACTTCACAGAGCCGTAGTTCACTGAGAAGCTATGCAAACAGCTGTCATTATCGCGAACGATTTCTTCGATTTCAGAATCGCGTAACTTGTCAGTGAACTACGGCTATGTGTAGTAAATGCTGCTCCATCTGAAAGCACGTGATGATGATTTACTGCTGATTACAGAACCGGCATTACTATCAAAATGCGCATGACAATCGCATTCGATTAATCGTGCAGCCCTAGTGTGAAACATGAAATGCTGCATGTTGTTTTGTGTGTTAGTGATGTTTGTCTGTGTCATTTGTAGGCTTTGGTCTTATCAAGTTGGACTTGAAAACGAGGTCAGAGAATGGACTGGTAAGTAGCCAGTGGATTTCAGTCATAGACGCAATCAACAATGCTATCTTTCTGCCAAACTTGATGAAATATTGAAGTGATTTCTGTCCAGATGTGAATATTTCACTCGTGAAATCATACAGTGGGACAGTAAAAACGCTGCTGATGTGACATTATGAAAAGCCAGATTGTTTAATGTTTGCTTGTTGTGGCTATGAGAAGTAAAGAATCGGATCTAAGGTTGAATGCAAACACTAGTGTATAGAACACTTGATTTTATGAATCAAATTGATTTGTTTAGATTCTTAAGGAAAATAGAAATATCTCGGCTAAAGCTGTAAACTATACAGGGAAGCATTACTGTAATATTAAAGATTAGAATTAACAACAGAGCCAAAATTTCAGTAGAGTAATAATCAACACTCAAAAAGTCATATGCAAATATTTAAACTGCACATAAGGCGGGTTGTGTATTTAATATAATTGTTTCTAATCCAATTTGTCTTTGAAATATAAGAAATTTAAATAGTGGCTGTAATAACTTGTTTTCATGAGAGATTTATTCAAGTGTACGTAAAAGCATGAACATATAATAGATAAGATATATTACTAACAGGTTAATTAAAATAACATTAATATGTAATATAGTGCATATCAGTGTCGTTTTAGTATTTTTGTGATCCTATTATATAATATTTTTATTTAGCGTTTTTTTTTTTTCTTCTATTTTTATTTCAGGTAAAGTTTTGGTAATCTTTTTTTATTAATTAAAAAAAATTAATTCTTTTTTTTATTTAAAAATTTTGTAATTTAATTAACAACAGAGCCAAAATTTCAGTAGAGTAATAATCAACACTCAAAAAGTCATATGCAAATATTTAAACTGCACATAAGGCGGGTTGTGTATTTAATATAATTGTTTCTAATCCAATTTGTCTTTGAAATATAAGAAATTTAAATAGTGGCTGTAATAACTTGTTTTCACGAGAGATTTATTCAAGTGTACGTAAAAGCATGAACATATAATAGATAAGATATATTACTAACAGGTTAATTAAAATAACATTAATATGTAATATAGTGCATATCAGTGTCGTTTTAGTATTTTTGTGATCCTATTATATAATATTTTTATTTAGCGTTTTTTTTTTTTCTTCTATTTTTATTTCAGGTAAAGTTTTGGTAATCTTTTTTTATTAATTAAAAAAAATTAATTCTTTTTTTTATTTAAAAATTTTGTAATTTTTAAAAAAAAATATGTATATAATTTTATTTCAGTTTTAGCTATTTCAGTACATCAAGTTAAATGTACTAAAATAAAAATGAGAAATGTTGCTTTGTCAACTATCTGAAATTAAACTTATTTTAACAAATTTTTTATGGTTTTAGTTTTTGTTAACTATAATAACCCTGGGGTATATATTTAGCAAAATGCATCTTTCTAGAGCTCTTGTTTTCATGGAAATTGACAGAATTTGAAATCTTTGTTTCATATCAAAAGTGACAAAACTCAAAGCTCACTGCGATTATTGGATGGCAGGTGCTACAAATAATGTTCGTGAAGTTCTGTTCATCAACGGAAAACAGCATAGACTAAAAGATCGATCTTGGAATTTAAGAATCCATACAGTTGCATCAAAATGAATATTGATTAACTGATATTGTCAGAGATAAAATAACCCAAAACTACATCATCACAATGGACAGAATGAATCTGTGGCCCTCAGAAGCAGATATTGACCATCACACGGACATGGAAGTGCTCCACGTGTTTTCATACATGTTTGCACTAATTGACCCATGGATGTTTATCTTGGGAAAAGTGTGTGTGTGCTGCAGTCTGACTCCAGCTCTGCAAACGCTGTCATCCATATGCAGCCAGAAATATGACAAAACAACTGGAGTTGTGTAAATTTGAATTATAGACAAGTGTCAGCAAAATGTAATATTACAATGCATTTTATTAGAATTCTGTACGTTTGGTATTTAACTAAATTAAAAAAAAAATGTTATGGCAATTTTATAGATGTGTATTTTCAAACAGCAGATTTTTTTGTTCTGAATTCTTAGACTGCAAGTATCCAGTTTTTAATAATAAGCTTCAAGTTTTCAAGATTCTAAAATAAAGCAATAAGCCCCAAGAAGCCGTGGTGTTATAAATTCACTGTAAACCACGGCTTCACGGGGCTTATTGCTTTTATAAAACGGTTATTCCATATACGTAGTACGGTTTCACAAAACGAAACAGAGCAAATAAAATGTAATGATATTAATAAAAACAGTATTCTTCCATCAAACAATGTAGTTCCTCAGAAACAGTTGTGGTTGCAACAAAGTGGTTGCTGAGCAACAGACAAACGTAAACAAAGGTGTATGTTACTTTGTAGAGTAATTTACAACAGCTTCGAACGCGGCTCAGCCAATCAGAATCAAGGACCGGAACTATCTGTTTTATAATTCACAATTAAAAAATTGGAAGATTCTAAAATTCTACATTCTAAATGCAGTGTGACGCATTTGTTCTCCTGGTGCTGTAGGAGTTCAAGAGCTCCGGCTCGGCTAACACAGAGACCAGCAAGGTAGCAGGAACGCTGGAGACCAAGTACAAGTGGGCAGAACACGGCCTGACCTTCACTGAGAAGTGGAACACTGACAACACTCTGGGCACGGAGATCACTCTGGAGGACCAGGTACCAGACCCGGAAAACTGAGCTCCACTTGATTGGATATGAATTACATTCTCGTCATTTAACACGAATGCTGCTTTCTTCTCCTCAGCTGGCTAAAGGGCTGAAGTTGACGTTTGATTCCTCCTTCTCTCCGAACACTGGGTATGTGACGTGTTCAGTATGTCTGTGCTCTAGTATACTCGATGCCACTGTATTGACGTTTGGCATTTCCAGTATGGATGTAATATATAAAGGGAGGGATGTATTAGTTTTTGGTTGTGAGTCTAAATTAGAACTGCACAATTTGTAGAATTGCTATTTATTAGTATTATTATAATTTTTTTAATTTTGCCAAAATTTTATGATATGCTTTAGGATTTACAGCAGCAACAATAATAATAACAACAACAACAATAATAATAGTTAGGGATGCACCGATACGATACTGGTATCGGTATCGGGCCCGATACTGCGCTCCTGTACTTGTACTCGTAAAAATGCCCCGATACCAAACAGCGTGTGAATAGAGCTGTGTCCAGAAAAAGAAACACTGAAAACAGAACAACAGAGAGTAGATAGACGATGTGCGCGAGCTGATAAACAAAGCACGCTGAGTGGATTGAGCGAGCGGCGGCACAGATGCGCGAGCTTGTCGAGTGAATATCTCACAGACATCACTGGAAAGTTTGTAGTTCGGTCGGATATGTCAAAAGCAAGTAAGTAAAACAATGCACAAGTTACTAAAGTTATTTGACGGTAAGGAGAGAGCGAGAGAGAGAGCGAGCGAGCAAGAGAGAGAGAGAGTCCGAGAGCGCGCACTTCTGTTGCATATTGCTTTAAGGCCAAAGTATACTTCGGTTTTTACTCGTACGCGAGGGTCCGTGTACACTGCGCGTGACGCAAATTTCATCACCAAAATAGTACGATTGCACTCGTATAATATATAACGAGTGGTTCCCTGCATTATTTTAGGAAAACGTTTTGTGATTACAGTATTGAGCTGCTGCAATGGAGCAGCTCTAATGCGCCATTAAAATGAACAGTGAAAGTAACAAAAGCTTATACAATACATTTTAACAGGTATAATTAAGTGTGGAAATAACTGAAGGTAATATCTGTTTGCTAAATGAAGCCAAATAACATGATTCATATTATTATTATTATTAATATTATTTTGTTTCTGTACCCAATATTTAAAAAAAAATTACAAATGCTGTGAAAATACAGGTATCGGCGAGTACCAAAAATGAAAGTATCGGTATCGGACTCGTTCTGAAAAAAGTGGTATCGGTGCATCACTAATAATAATCATTTATTTATTTATTTATTTTTAATAAATAAAAATATAAAAACTACTAAAAATAAATGTTACTCTTGTAATTGACAATTGCAATTTATTATTATTATTTTTTTTTATTTGACATTTTTAATTTATTTTATTCTCCTGATAAAAATTGCAATTGCGATTTTAAAATGCAATTAAAATTTTTTTTTGCAGGGATTCACAATTTGGCCAAGATTTTGTGGTTTGCTTTAGGATTATTATATGAAGATGATGATGATAATTCTAATAATGAAAATTATTATTATTTATTTACTAAATAAAAAAATAAAATAAAAATGACTAAAAAACGAAATGAGAAATATTACTTGGTAGTAGTGGTGTTATTGGTAAAAAAAAAAAATTACAATAGTAATATTTTTTCATATATATATGAAAAAATATTACTATTGTAATATTTCACTGTAAAATAAAAAATTGTATTTAATAGAAAAGATGGCATGATTTTGTAAAATGACTAATATCTTAGTATTGTCTTAATTTCTTCATTTTATAGCTAAACCACCAAACATTATTTTTACAGTAAACCGCCGGAGCTAGGGCTGTCGCGATAACCGCAATATCGCAATACCGCGCTATTGACGAGCAAACCGCAGAGGAATGCAAAAACCACAGCAACCGCGATTTTTGCGTGTTTTCTTTTTTCGTAAGGTTATGCCCTTCTCGTTTTACACTTCTGACGGAGTAATGAGTGTGCACTGAAACTATGTGAGTCTCATTAGGGCTAAAGCTGTGGTGCTAGATCACCCGTCTGGTGCCTGCTGGGGTTTGACTGGACTGCATATGTGCAACCAAAGATCAGAGCTAGGGCTGTCGCGATAACCGCAATATCGCAATACCGCGCTATTGACGAGCAAACCGCAGAGGAATGCAAAAACCACAGCAACCGCGATTTTTGCGTGTTTTCTTTTTTCGTAAGGTTATGCCCTTCTCGTTTTACACTTCATGCATGTGGACTGGATATTAAACAAGTTAGTAATGATAACATAATGTGTACCTTGCTGATTTGTACAGAGGCTCCGTAGATTTGCACTTAACAAGCCTAAACAGACAGTGAATGCAAGACAGATCGACTGAGTGCGTGCGATTACTTGCGTCTGTCCTCCAGGCAGAGTCATATATATTTGTGAAAATAGGTTGTCATGTCCAAGGAAAGCAAAATCTCTGTCTTAGCATCGAGGCATAGCTGGTCAGCTGAGCCTTCTGCTCAAAGTTAAAATGATTTCAACAGCGTCTCTTTGAATGAATGAATCAGCGTTTTTGAACGTGTAGTTGAATGACAGTCACGTTCCACCACCTTGTGGCGCAACACTGTAACTGCACTGACTGACAGCCCGTCTAGAACGCGCACAAGTGGAAATATCAATAGAAAGTCTCTTGTCCAGTCAGATTAAAAGATCAGAACTAACTGTTATACATAGGCTAACAACAGCTCAAC